TATTAAGTCTTCCCAATCCAACAGACGTTTCCTCTTCCAGGAAATAGCCCTGGGAATATCATTTGAAGTTTTTATTGCATATGTCTTCATGGCGGGAAAGGCCTCGAATATCCAAATCTACAAACAATATAATAACAAACATTAGTAATTGTTAAATAATTAATTATAATTTTGAAAACATTATATAGAAATTCTTACCTTAAAGGCCCAAACAAAGCCTGACAAAGTGTATTTCGACCCATCGCCCCGCAAACTTTTACGGTCATCAAAGGCATACGACAACTTAGTCCAGGTAGCTTTCCATATATACGAACCCCACAGAAACATATTCCGTGCATTTAGGTCCTCTACCAATAATATTAGCTCCTGAGGAATAGGTTGTCTGGCCTCTCTGCCTAAAAAGCTGACATACAAAAGTAGTAGAAGGCATACTCGGACAACATCGACGTCATTCATCCGAGTAAAACCATCTTTCTTATTAAACAATTTCTTCATGTCGTCGACGTGTAAGTTCGGCTTCTCTATTGACTAATCAGGAAAAACCCTGGATAACCATGATGGGCGGGTGATATGACGAGTGTACCGGCCTACATCATCGTGTCCGAATCGTAGACCAGTGATTAAGCAGAACTCCTTCCGCCCAAAACAAGTATACGCCGGTGGAAAATGAAACCATATCTCTTCCTCACCACGTTGTATACTGTCGGGTAGATCTCTAGTCATGGTCTGAAGCCACAAATGGGTCAAATTAGCATCTCCACCCGGATGCTGTACTATCAGCCATGGCCCGAAGCAGGTTTCTTCAAACAATTTTCTTTGTGCAGGTGAAAGCTTCGAAGCAATTGTAGTGGCTAGGCTAACTTTATTCCTTAATGTCAATGAAGCCGAAAAAAATTTCTACAAAAACAATAAACATACCAAGTTAGATATACCGAAAACTACATTATCAAGATATACCAAAAACAATAAACATAAATAGTAGTTTATTCTTGAAACTAAAATTTGCAACACTGTTTTGTCTTTTGGTTGAAATGAAAATCGCAACGAGATAATGAGAATCGCAACGCGGAAAGGACTATCGCAACGCGAAATAAAAATCGCAACGCGAAATGAAAATCGCAACGCGAAATGAAAATCGCAATGCGATTTTGGTTTCGCGTTGCGATTTTTATTTCGCGTTGCGATTCTCTCGTTGCGATAGTTATTTCCGCGGTGCGATTTTCATTCTCGAAACTATTCTTCTTCTGCATTACTTCAACCAAAAGACAAAACAAAGACAAATACTAACTTCACAGGCTAAACAATTTAGCAGTATTGGCAGCAATCGAATGAATTTAATAAGAAATATAAGTGAAATGGTTAATCTATTATTGAAATTACCAGTAAACTTATCATCAATCTCAATATGAAAACCTAAAATAATGCAAAAAATTTCAAAATAAAAATAAAAAAACTAACCCTCTCGGAGGTTGATTTTCCATTTCTGAATGATTGTGAGGGAATTCGCCGGCGATGGGGACGGAAATCTTCGGAGATGGGGACGGATTTCGCCGTAGAGAGTGAGAGATGGAGATGGGACTGAGTGTTGTGATTTTGGGTTTGAGGTTATGAGTTGCGATTACTGTGGACGGTTCAGTTTCCGATTTATTAAGAAAAAATTCGTGTTTGGAATTTGAAAAAAAAATACGCGTTAATACGAATGGCGCTATGTAAATCGCGTTGCGAAAGTCAGAATCGCGTTGCGAAAGTCAGTATCTCGTTGCGATTTTGTATTATCGCATTGCGATAGTAAGTATCGCATTGCGATAGTCAGTATCGCATTGCGATAGTCAGTATCGCATTATCGCATTGCGATTTTCCCAATTCGCATTGCGATTTACTTATTCGCATTGCGAATTGGTAAAATCGCAACGACACTGTAGACCATCGCAACGCGATTTCCAACTATCGCATTGCGAAAATGCAACGCGAATTTGCGATAATGGAGATCGCGTTGTGAATTAGCGATCGCATTGCGATTTTGTTGGTCATTTTGGCAAATCCGGAAAAAGTTGGTTAAAATCGTATATTATAAGGCATTTTTGGTCACTGAGGCGATTTTCTCTAAAGTAAATACTGTGAGATATTCGATTGAGATGATTTAGCCTTAGACTTTCCTTAGCTTCAGTTTTGATCGATCATCAAAATAGATTTTCGCCTAACTCTTGTAACTAATCTTTCTTTTCAATAAACTTTCTTTTTGATAAACTGATATTTTCAAGTCTATTTTCAAAATTCCGTTATTGTTGAACTAATCATGTAGTTAGTACCAAGACAACTTTAAGAGCTAATAAGTGTTTGACACGAGTTATAGTGTCATCGATAATTGAACCCGGTCTTAATTTATCTCAACGGATCGCTGTTAAGTTTGTTAAAAGGAAGTTGAATTACGACCAATCGATTCATCTTCCTAACAGTAAATCAAAACAACCTTCAAATCAATGCCGAATTTTTAAAGTGAAAGCGTTGTGACTTTTAAAAGAACGGTCTATTATCATTCTTAATTTCTAGAGAATCGAAGAATGTATCTAAAACTTTTAGGTATAACTCAATTCTCCCGATTTGAATTGAGCTTCGCAAAATCTTTGACTAAGTGAAAGTTTAGCTAAACATAAATTAAATCATATCTAGTATTTTCATGGAAGAATAAAAATAAAAAGGTAAAAATATAGAAAGTGAGATTTATATAAAATAACTCAGGAAATTCAAAATCCAATCCAAATTTAAAAATTATGTTTTATCTTTTTAATTATCTCTAAACATTTATTTTTAAAATAATTTTAAATCTTAATATTTTAAGATACTTGCAGGAACATCTAACTCAAACCTTTCATGAATTCCCCAGATATGATTCCCCGATAATACAGCAAATCTTAAACAGGAAAACTGATGAAATCAAAGTTTTGAGATCCAAAAATGGTGGACCTCTTGATGATTTCTATTCATTTTTTGGTAATTGATGTCATGAAGCTCTGCAACAAAAAGAAACCTTTGAATTTCCCATATCAAGCTGCCTTGGAAGATTATGAATACCATCTGATTTAACCTATATTTCATTGATAAGTATTTGAGTCTAATCTCTTAGATGACTCTAGGGTCTATAAAGACAGGACCTCTAGGGCAGAAATTCTCTTTTACCAACTTTCTCTAGTCTGCAGAGATGTTGTAAAGCAAATGAATGAGCCATACGGCTAGAAATTTTCATGTTTCTTGAGGGATTCTTATTCCTTCATTCGTCTCTTTTCTTAGCATATGCTGATGCCCTGTCATATCATATAAAGAAAAAAAACATGTTTCCTTAGAAAGATGTAGCAGTTTGAATTAAGCAGGAAGCAAAAGCATATTTACCATTTTTACTTAGAGTCAGAGATAAACCGAGATGGTTAACGAAAAAATCATCTCTTTAAAATATTTTAAATTCATATAATTTAAATTTTAATATTTTTTTGTTAATAATTTATTTCTGTCTTTTAATTTTTTTATAAATTCACCTCAAATATAAAATTTGGGTCGAGAACTCTCAGCAGGACGACTCAACAGAGCTTGTAGTTATTGTTGTTGCTCTTTGATTGATGATACGGGTATCTTTGCAAGGTCGTGGTCCTCTATTTCTAGCTCATGTTGGGCATCAATGGGGGCCCTCCTCCCTGCACTGCTTGCCAGTTGCATTTAATTTCTCAAATAAAAAATAACCCTTTCACATGCATGCATGCATGCATACATACATAACTCACCTACTTACCCTTATAAATCAGCAAGTAATTAATGATAGTGTAAATACTTACCCTTATCATTTAACTGGTGAAAAAAGTGAGGGGAAAAAGCTGAAAATGGCAATTATATATCCAGGCACTAACATAATAATAACACTATAAAGCTGCATATAAAAACCCTTTTGTCAGAAAATTACAAACTAAAGGGCTACCATTTTAGCCAATAATGGCCTCATTCATCCTTCTTTTCTCTCTCAATCTCAATTCTCGGTGGAAAAATAAAGTGAAAAGGAGAAAGAAATAAGAAGCTTTTGTCACAGGCCACAGAGAAAACTACAATACAAGGAGAACCTATAGCTTCAATAATAGTGCCCCACCCCCACCCCAGAATGACATTTCTGTAAATTTCATGGAACCAGACATCCCTCAAACCACACAGAGTTGTTCAGAGATGCATTGACTGGTCGCATTTTGGCCAGTACCAGAGAAGTACTGGTCACTGCAATGCTCAGTTTGCTGCAACAACAATATTTCTACCTCATAAATGATAAGATGAGCTGCTTGCTCCCAACCATCCCACTTTTCTTACCATGGCATGTGTGGTTCATTCTCCAAAAGTTTAAATAATGTTCGTTAAACTCTTTTGTGGAGCATTTGGTTCAAGAAATGTAAAATTATCTTTGAAAATAAGATTATTGTAATCTTACATTTTAATTATTTTATTTATAAGGATCATATTACATTTTATGAATCAAACGTCTAAGTAATGTACTAATATAGAAATTCATTCAATGATAAAAAGAAAACTATATTCTCTAAAAGATTGAGTCCAAGTAAATGCATTTATAGGACATATATTATTAATAAATTAATAAAATTCTAAAACAAATAACAATTTATTTATATATATAACCTACCACACGCTTAAATAAAAAAAAATGCAGAGTATGTATGATAAATGCAGATGGCAAGCACTTATGGGCTGACCTTACCTCTTTAATCCATGTGGTTGAATCAATTCAAAGGTTTGGGTAAATACATCATTTTCTCAACCTCTAGATATTGTTGAACCCTAAATCCACAACAAATTGCTTAAATTTCATTATTTATAGCCATTACAACCAAGCCCCTAGTTTGTGTTTAAACACAAATATGGGTTTAAACACTGGAAAACGAAGATACAGACAATTAGAATGATGAATGGAACATGAAACATAGAGGACAAATGAGATTACCAATACTATATACAAACTACCATTATGATTATTAAATCTCATTTTGGATCTGATGATTGGTTCTTGTGGGAAGCTAAAGCAAGGATGGAATTAGCAAGCTTGTTTATGGCATCGACCAGGCCATCGATGCCTTGTTTACTGATCTCTGTCTTGGATTCTTCGATCTTCAGTCTTCTTTCATGGAAGCCTAGGAGATCTCTGTGTCGTCTCTCCACTCTTTCTTCACTAGCCTGAATGGCTTCAGCTATAATTGAAGCGCTTTTGGAGATTGCGGCGGCGGCGGTGCCACCACTGGTGCCTTCACCATTACCTCTTCTTCTCTTTGCCGGTGAGCCTGAATACTCACTCGTATCAGAATCTGAGCTATACCATCACACAGGAACGTTGGTTTTATGTATAAGGTATGAAAAATAAGTCTAAAAAACATGCAATATATGCGACCAAGGGCAAGGGTAAGAGAAAGAGAGTACCTACCTACGGTGGGGAGTGGCTGAGCATATGAAATTGGAGGTGGTTGTAACGGTGGTGAAGGAGCCGGATGTGCTGTCGACGGCGGTTCTGATGGTGGAGGTAATAGAGTTGTGGCCGCTATAGGAACTTGAACTTCATGTTGCATAATAGCCATCGGTCTATCCATAACATAGGGTAAGTTGGGAATATTAGGATCTGACCCACCATTGCCGCCATCTCCACCAGCCGCCACCGTTTGAGCTCCTTTATTCTCCACCACCTCCTCTAAACGCTCGTATATCTGGCGCAACATGTTACTAGGCAAGTTGTTTCCTTTCCTTTCGTTCTTCTCCATCTCCCAATAAAATCCTCCTCCTTTACCATCAGCTGCCATTCTCCTCTGATACTCCCTCACTTTCTTGTAGTCCCGCATGAGATTATCCCACTTGTCGTTGCACTGGTTTTGGCTCCTCAAACACCCTTTTCTCCAGCAATAATCTTCCACCCATTTCCATCTCAGCTCCGTCGGTTTGCCCCTCCCTTCGCCGCCGACGTTGCTTCTCTTCATCCTCCTCTTGTAATCCATCTCCTTTGCCTCGATCAACACCATCGTTTCGTGGACGGTCCAGTTCCCTTTCCTGTATTCCCTCGTGACGACGTCGTTTCCGCCTTGATCCGCCATCATCATAATCAAGTGCATGTAATGGCAACCCAACAATCCTAAAAGAACATACAAAGCAAAGATGGGAAAGAAAAGGGAAGCAAAGGGGTCTAACAGTGTAGTCTGTCTGGCCGGGACCTGATTTGATGTTTGTGGTCAAATATCACAAAGATTTTCTATTTGAGGCGAAGGAATTGACTCCATAAACATCATTCCCAACACAAAAATGGATGATTAGAAAGATTATAAAAAGACCACGAGAGTTATGTGTTTGCTTAACACTTAACCATCTATACATGGTGTTCTTTTGCTGCACTTTAAAACTTGATCAAGTTCCTTAAAATCATAAAGAAAGAAAGAAAGAATCTCGAGAGTTTAAAGTTGAACTCTAAACCTACTTGGTCTCTCTCCCCAGAAAGTGAGGAAAAAGCTTAGCAAAATATGAGATTCTCAAAGAGAAAGAAGAAATGGAGAGAGGAAGAGTTATCAAGTGGACCATTATAACAAAATGCCAACCAAATCCATTCAACCTGACATATAACGAAGAAATTTTCAAAGAGAAAGAGATTTTGTTTTTCTTAAATATTTGTATCCTTTTTTAGAATAGATTATGTATGGACCTAAACATTATAGTTAAAGGCTAATTATATTTAGATCCTATCAAGTTAAGCTATTAAATAAGCTTATATCAATTTTATTTTATTTTTTTATTTATATATCTTGAATCTAATATGTATTATAAGAAAATCTAAATTTCTATAATTTTTTAATCGTATGAATTTAGAGATGATGACGGATGGTCGAAAATGTTTTTGGTCAATAAGACACTATAATAATAAAATTTGATCTTATTTTAAAATTATTTTTATTCGTTTTGAATCTGACTAAAAAATTTTAAATTTTATTTTAACTCAACTTAATCCGATTTAACATGATTTTTAAATTTTTACGTAATTATAAAAAAATAATACAATAATATCATAATTTTTACATACCCTCTAAGAATATCTTAAGATATACTCTGAATTTCTCGGCTGATCTGGAACTGCTCTCGACGATAATGCTCTATTACTGGTCACCTATGAACCTGCGTACGGAAACACATTTCGAACGCTGAGCTTACGAGCTTGATGCTACACTAATAATTGTAATATACTACATGCATTCACTAAATGAGTTGGCTAGTGACATAAGTATGAAAACATGTAAAATATTGATATGTGCTGTTGAAATAGGAATTATGATGTGGTTAAGAGTTTTGCATCTCAGAGCTCACACACTCCTCTAGCCTTTCTGAGATACCTTTGGGTATCTGGGATGAGATGCGGAACTGCATCGGAAACATACACCTGACCTGTAATACCCATAACCCGTATAATTATACATATACATATTATAGATGTCACCTGAATTTCTAAAACCATTTCCAATTCAAAAGTGATTTAAAATTTATTTTTTTAAAATAGTAAATGATATTATAAAAAATATCATATCATAGGAATTATGTTTCGTTATAACAAATTTAAAGCAAAAGATTTTTTTTCTTTTTTATGAATAGTACCACGAACAATGAGGGTATCGCTACACTGTAGCAGGGTATCGGTACCCCTGTAGCGTTCTAAAAATTTTTAACGTCAGTACTTTTCATCACTATTCACCGCTACAGTAATTTCAACAATATATATATATATAACTCATCACTATAAAATTTCCATTTTGTTTCCAAATTTGTTCAACAAAACAAATAAAACATTAATAAGTACATGCCACTAACAAAGTTAACATTACATCATAGGATGTCTTACTGATATTGAAATATACTTCCCGATGCTTGATGTCACTTTGAAATCTTTATTCTACTACTGGCTTTTTACCTACGCGTGAAAATCATCACACGCTAAGTATATACTTAGTGAGGCAATTTAAAACAATAAACATTGCAATACAATTCATGCATGAATTTCAATGTCAAAATCAAATGCCATAAAATCATATTACCAACATATCCAATATTTTACCATGATCAAAATAATATAATTGAATATAAAATTTCTTACAAATATACTTGCTATTTATTTCATAAGCTCATAAGCTTATTTTCATGCTTACTATTTATTAGCCAATCATCTATAAACCATAGACAATAGCCCATTATAAAACCCAGAGGACCCTGCTACACGAGTCAAATATCTGCACCGTAGTGCTAACCCGAGTATGACACATAAGGTCGTGTCCACCATCTGTACTAGGTATCGTTAAGTACAGTCCCAAATATGACACATAAGGTCGTGCCCACCATATACACTAGGTATCCTTTAGTGTATTCCCGAATATGCAGCATGCTGCTGGACTTTATGGCATGCCAACTATACCCTGTCCCTCAATGACTTACTTGGGCATACACTCTATTTTATTTGATCCATCCATGGCAAAATATACTATCATATTTAACATTGGGCAATTCAAACCCGAAAACATTCATGGTAAAATATCCCATTATTCATGATCAATGCATTAAAATTTCACACTATGACATATCAATGTCATATCGAATTTATAAAAATGACATATTATCATGCTGATATAAACAAGGTAGACTTGTCGCAAGTCTTCCTGATGATGTATGAAACATCCATGTATAATGTCATGCATGTATTGCACTCACCTTGACACTTTATATCTTTCAAAATATATATGCCTCACTATTGTCCACAATAAATCCTTTTCTATTTGACTTGCTTCGATCACAAATAAATCACGATCTGTATAATTCACAAATTCATAACGATTACATATGTTAGTATTGTACTAACATAAACACATTCCATAACAACACCATAATATACTTGGAACTAATTCACCACCAAATACTTTAACACTTATTAATTCTTTTTAATATTGGCACCAACTTATATAAAATGGTCCTTCACCATTTTACCACTTAAAATTTCAATACAAAAATTCCAGTATTGAAAGTATTATCAACCAAATACCCATACAAAGACATAATTACAATGAACACTCCCAACAATTCGAAATTTGCATTAAAATCACCAAACTTTCCAAACTTTCCAAAATAATCAAATTTCACATTCTAACACTCATTTAAATTCCAAAACAACATTTTCCAGCATAGAACATCAACTATTAAACAATTATACAACCATTTACAATTTTTCCAAACTTGTAGAATTGGTCCCCAACTTTTTAGAATTTACAAAATGGTCCTCAAATTTTTCTAAGACTTGTAGAATACTTCCTTCATCATTTCCAACCCATATATAATTTTTTCATAATTTTCCTTACTCAAACAATTCATTGCCAAAACTTAAAGAACAAGTTCTAGAAAGATTAAACATATTCTAAATATCATACATGCTTGAATATGAATCAACTACCTCACAAACATCAAGATCTATCATTAATTTCATGATCTCTTAAATGAACACAAACTATAGAATTTGGGATCTTTGAACACCAACAAGATTATCATGCAATATTGGTACCAAATGATAGCGTTTTTCATGTATAACAATTTTCTATTTCATGGCATACTCAAAATCCAAATGAAATTGCTGAAAAATTGAATTGAAGCTTTCTCTCACCTTTAGAGAAACCCACGACAACTTTAAGAAGACGATGAGCAATTTGGATGAAATGTTGGGTGCATTTCATATTAGTTTATATTTAATTCCACTATAAATGAATAAAATATTCATTTAATTGAGATAAGACCAAATCACCCTTAATGAATCTTCCTATTCACTATAAAACCAAGACACCTTATCCTTATAATCTTTCAAAGTCAATTTGACTTTGATTTCCGAAATTTCCCGTGAATTGTTCAAAAATTGTGTTTTAGTCACTAACTTCCACTATTTCGGTTAAATCTGAAAAATTACACATTTCCAAACCAAATTTCTCTGATATAAAATTTAAAATAATATTTCCAACCATTTTATAACATCCTTCAAATTTTTGTAAAATTCCAATTCAATCTGAACTACCGATTCCTTACCGGACTTTAACCCTTTCTAATTTTTCTTTACTAAAATTCCAAATCCAAAAATATGATTTCTATAAAACCCCACTCTCAAGAGTAAACTATCTATTATGGAATATAATTTATTTTTAGGAAATTTATCACTTAATTCCCTAAATTTTCTTTATAAGTTTTATACTTTGGCCACCAAACTTCAAAAGTTACATTTTGGTTACTAACCCAAAATTTGGGGTATTATATGATCATCTTACTCCGTCGAGTCTTGGGGCATCTGCACCCAGTAGACTACTGAAGTGCCTTAGAACTTACTGGGTATCCAACTGACTATCATATTATGCTAAAGAGACTCAAGTGTCATGGTTGTTTCTCAAGCGTTAAACAAGACTAGTTTTATGTTATCCTAATTGTTACTGTTTCTAGTTGTTCTGAGTTTATTATTGTTCTCACTTGTAGTTTTATTTGTTGATATTATGATGTTATTGGACCCCTCAACTCGAATTCCTCAATAATTGGATTACTTATCCAAAACTATCTACTGGTATCGGTGGTGGCCCTTTAGTATCAATATTGAACCATGAGTATCGATACCTACTGACTATTATATGCCGATAGGGAAAGGAAGTATCGATACTCCTGATTAAGTATCGATACTCTAGTAATGGGATATCTATATTGTTCTGAGTATCGATACCGAAATTAGGTTCGATGTTTTGAGAAAATACCTTAGTATCGATACTTCTATGAGTACCGATACCAAAATTGTATATTGGAATTTACAAAGTGAACTCAGTATCGATACCAACCTGTGAGTATCGATTCCCTACCTACAGTATCATACCCATTAAAGGAATATCGATACTTATGTCCCAAAATCCCTTTGCTTTTAACATCTGAATAACAATATCGTTATTAGTATTGTTCTTATAGTACCAATACTCGTGCCCAAAAATACCCTTTTTAGTATGAAAATGCTAACTTTCCTCCCCAAATACCCTACTGAGGTCCCCAATTGTTATTAAAGTCTTATGTATGAATAAAAGGATCATCAAAGGGCTTTTTACATGCTGGAAACATC